TGCACTAAAGAATGACGGCCCTAAGCAGTGTGGACATGAGCCATTCCTTCCCTACTGTTTGTGCTATCTTTAACAGGATGCATACCATGTTTGTTCTTCTTGCTCTCTTCTAAAAACCTCAGCCTGAATGAAATCACAGCAAATACTTCCACCTGCACCCTTTTGACTAAAAAGGGGGAATTGCCTTGGCACACACCATAGCATTTTGACATTTGAACTAATTATAAATGAGCAAATAATAATGACATTCTTAATAAACCTACATTTCCTCATATATTCCCCAAAATAACAAAGCCATTTGTAATAACATGTAGATAATATGTAAGTATTCCCAGCTGGCTCTATAGTTGAAATAGGTCTGGGGGTAAGAAACTGATTGAACTTTTTTGGTGGAACAGACAGATGAGAATAAACTGGACCTTGTGAATTTCTTCTGAGCACATAGAATTGTCTAACTCAAAGATAATGGTACTCCCCATCCCCACATAATTAACTCTGACATTTTCTAAATGATGTTTCAATTTTAAATGCAATGATATTTCATTTCAAAGTTTTCTTCAATTGTGTGTAAAAATATGTAGCAATCTTCTCATCTTTTCTGAATAGCTCAATAAAACAGTTCATTAACACTGACATCAGAAGTAATGTCACCAACATCTGAGCCTCATATTTGTAGTTCAGGTATGATTTTCAAGAATAATCACACCATTCATCAATATTAAAACCCTAAATATTGAGGATGAAATCAAATGCCCAGCTAAATGCTGGTTTCAGGATTACCTCTTTGTGTAGGATATACAGAAATAAAGGAGATAGTAAGCTAAAACCTCGGAAGTCAAACAGCAACTTCAAAATCTACAATGCTTACAAACTAGTTATATAAGCAGAAAAAATATAGGAGAGTTTATTTGAACCTTGGACAGATATCTTCTGAACAACGATGGCTGTGGTACATACCTCAAAGCATGCTGCTGTCATGGAGGGTTGATTTGAATGGTTCAGGCTAGATGAGGATGACCATCAGGATAACCCCAGTCATCCCCGCAGGCAACGCAATTCACACTTCAGAAATCTTTTTCTAGATTTAGTTACAGTAATTTCATTTGTGGCTGAAGAACCTCTTATGCCACTACCATGTGTTGAGGGAGGAACCAGGGCAATTTGTTACCAAGTCTGTTGGCTTGCTATTGTGATATGTCAATATGTATGGGAAGCTGATAATATCACTGACATTATGAATTTACTGAGGTGTTTATATAACTTTTGTTTGTTCCATATTTAGGTCATGCTCAATATTAATAGCCCCAAAAGATGTTAGGAATTTGCAGCTGTCATCTAGGCTGAGAAGGGATGGCTAAAAATGAAAAACTGCAATATTTTCAAGAAAAATATTGCCATTTTGAGGTAGACTACCAGAGAGGGCATTAATTTATGAGACAGTGCAGGGCAAGTGATGAATCATCCACCATCATATTTGTATCAGTAGAAAATGGTGGGACAAGAAAATCAGGAAGAGAATGAGAAAGATGTGGTATTTATGAGAATTTTACTCACTAAAAATTGCATTACTTGCCATAAAAAAATAAGGGAAGGTAATTTTATAGGGCTGCTTGTTGTGAAGCAGTGACTTTCACAGGAGGCTTGAGGGGAGCTGGCTTTAAACAGAGGGATATTACTATGAATGCTTGAATTTTTGTAATGGTTTCATACCTTGACACATACCTTGACACCTTTGGATAGGAATAGGATCAACAACTAGAAACACTGTAAGAGTTGATCAATTTTATCTGTAACCTCTGTTTTCAGTCTTTTAGATAAAGCTTCCTTTGCCATTTTGGTGGTGCAGGAAATTTCTTTACATATTGGGAGAGATTACTCTTTACAACAGCTACAGCCAAGGTGACAACCCAAATATTAACTCACTTCAGTACAGTTCTTTAAAAAAAGCAAACCCAGAGAAACCAAAATATTTATTTGTACTTACTAATTTTGTATCATGAATAAACGCTATTCATTGCCAGCTGAGCCAGCATAAAACCCCTCCACCTGATCATTATTTTATTCTGTGAGAAGTAACAAAGGCTACTTTCATATGATAAGAACAGTATGGCACTCTTTAAAAAGTTGTAAAACAAGTACAAACAAAAATATTCACAGTTAGGAAAATGAACCAACATCCTAGAACTAGTGGTTCAATGGACTCCAAATTATGCTTGGAGGAACTAAAATGTCCAGGAAAGGATATTTGGTCTTATTGTACTAAAATGTAGCATAATCATATTTTCATAAATGGTATTTTATAAACAAGTAGGGCTTTAATTTATTAAATGCAAGTAAAACAGGGGTGGGGTTTTTTTCAAATTAAGTATGTTGGCAAATATTTTTTTCATTTCTTTGATTCTTTCTGCAGTTTTATGTGGTGAAACCTTTTTTATACACCAGAAGATATTCAAGAATGGTGTGAAGGAATCTCATTGAAAGGTAAGGAAACTTTCAATGGCTGTGAATGATTATCACCACTGAAAACCTCAGCAGATTCACATACAGAGGGAAGGGCAAAAACAAGTCTTGTATGTGCCCTCTGGCCGACAGCCCTGCTTTTGGGAAAACTACAGGAACAGCCTTGCTTCTTTTAAGCAAATCTTCATACCTGGCCAAGAGCATTGGTTATTCTGTTCACAAGCAAGGTACTATAAAAGTGATGGCTTTGCACTGAACTGCCTAAATCAGAGATAAGAGGAAAAGAAGCAAGACAAAAAAAAAAAAAAAAAAAAAAAAAAAAAAAAAGGAGATAAGGGAGGCAAAATGACCTGGCAGGCAGTGGATGACTGAAATAACCTCAAACCCATGCCCAAGCTGCTAATAATGTTTGAACAACCAATGTTCCCCTTGGCTGGTCCTGCTGTATGTGAGTGAGAAAATGAAGGGCCAATGCATGTCCAGAGATTATGTATTCATGCACCAGTGAAGTCTGCTTTCCCTAGAATGCCAGGCTTTTCCAGAAACCCTGCGGTTGCCACTCAGCATCAAGAAAGGAACAGTGACTTTTGTCCAAAACAAAACTTGTATCCTGCCATTTCTGGTTTTGTGCTGACTTTTGTCTTGGCATAGAGTTACAGCAGCCTTGTAAATTCATGAGTACCATTTGTGTCATGTCTTAAACGCAAAAAGCATCTTGTTTTCACTAGTCTGCTTACAAGTTTTGTTTATTTTTCAAATATTTTCTCTTTAACAAGCCATAACAGAATCCAGTGCATATTATCTGCCTCAGACAACCGAAGATAAAGAATATTTGTATCCTAGCAAGACCCAAGAAGGCCTGCTTGGGCAGAAAGCAATTCCTGACAAGTAAAACCTGTTAACAGATTTAGTCTCCCTTACGCTTGGCCTAAATCTTAACTGCACAGCACAGAGCACTGGAGTTACTTCTACAAAGCATTCCTGAGGCCTGGCACGTCGACTCTGCATCCTCTGCGGTTGAACACACGATGTGAGCACTGAGGAGTCTGTCACTGCTCCAACACACCGTGTTGCACAGAGCAGGGAGGGCTCCCTATGCAACTTCTGTTTCCCATCAGCTGACACACCTGAACCCCTCTGGTAATGAAAGTGCCCATGACTTTAAACTGAAGAGTTCGCTGAGGAGCACTCATCACCCCCATAACCCCTGATCTTCATGGGCTTCATTCCTGTCTCCGTAATGCCCGCCAAGCCCAAAATGCCTCACTCCAGGGCCAGAAGCAGAGTGTCACAACCAGCCACCAGCCCTAAAGGTGTTTGGCTTTGGGTGGCTGGTCTCCAATGCCAAGCACTACCCAGCCACATCGGCAGTGCCAGAGGCCTTGGTGTAGCTGCACACAGCTGCGGGACAGCACTGTGCTGCCCCACCGCGTGTGACTGCAGCACCGCTCTTGTGGGGATGGATGGATGGATGGATGGATGGATGGATTGATGCTTGCAAGCAGACGAGGCAGGAGACAGGGCAGGAAACAGGCCATAGGGATGGGCTGAGGGCGGCAGCCCCGTCCGGGGGAGCCCCTCGACTTCAAGCACCGAGTCGACTCAGCCGCCGGGCAGTGACCAGCTCTGCCCTCGGAGCGCTGGTCCCCGCTCCATGTACCGCCCTCGGGCACAGGGATCCCGCCGGGCAGGGCAGGG